ACTTGTAAAAAGTCAGAGAGCTTAAATAGGTAATCTCCTAGTTAGATTGCAGGCATGGTGGCTAGTGTAGAACTCAGACAGACTACTTAAAATAGACAACTAAAAGTTGTATGTGTGGCTAGTTATACTCTTATCATAATTGTAAATATTGTTAATTACCTAATAAAAAGCCCCCGGCTATAGAGGTCATTTTTTTTAAAAAAAAAAAAAAAAGATATTAATTAATTAATTGATTAGTTAATGATAATCAATTTTTATTCAACTTTTTAAAAATTTTTGGCCAACTAATCAATTGCATTTTTTTGGTTTGATTTGAATTACTAGGCACAAGCTCTCAAATATCCTGATCAAAAGCATAATCTGGCCAAAATCATATGATGATCTAAACCTTCTACCACAGAGGCCAATAGTCTTAAAGCAGACAAGACTAGGAAAACTGTAGCTATAAGATGCTATATAAAGATTAAAGACATCCAAGTAGTAGCAATACTAAATTCAGGTGCAGTAGTAAGTATCATTACTAATAAGTTGATGAAGAGATTAGATATAGCCCCTACTAAAAAATCTAAGACTGTAGTTGTTACTACTAATAGTGGCAAATCTAAAGCCCTTGATATAGTAGAAAATATAAAAATTATACTCCAAGATATAATTATCTCTATAAACTTACAAGTTATAGAATTAATAGGTGAAATGCTTTTATTGGGTACAGATTGGTTCAATAAATCTAGCACTATCCTTGATTTCAGAAAACATACTTTACACATAAGATACACTAAAAAACAGGTTATTATTAACACCACCTATACCAGTACTACCCACCACCCCCTATTGAGTATATAGAGAAGGAAGATAATAATCAGTAGGTAGATAAACTTGATGAAAAATCAAAAACATTTTTCTCTGATAAAGTCAATACCAATTCCAAAGATGACTTATATTATAATCTGTAGAAAGAAATGATAAGCCTTGCCATATATTTAATAGAAATCATAGAAGGTATAACTCCAGAATTAACTACACCTAATTATAATATAGGTCAAGAGGTTACTCCCAAGCAAAAGGAAGCAATACGTAAGTTGTTGCTTCGAAACCATGTTGTGTTTGCCACAGACATCTCAAAAAGTGAACAAACCATGAGACTAGGTTATACTAATATAGTACAACACTATATCAATACTGGCATAGCCTGGCCTAACAAACAGAAGCTCTATCGGATTCTACCAGACTAGCAAGATTTTCTTCAAAAAGAAATTAGCAAAATAGAGAAGTTAGGTATTATTTGTATTATTGAAGGACTCTGGAGATTAATAGTAGTGATTGTGTTTAAAAAAGATAGCAAAAGAAGAATCTGCGTTAATTACTGGAAATTAAACACAGTAACCAAAAAAGATATTTATCTCTTATTTAATATTAATGAGATTCTTGATAGTTTTAAGAAAGCTAAATAGTTTTCTAGCTTGGACTTAGCTAGTAGTTATTGGCAAGTCACCATGTTCGAGAAAGATAAAAAAAAGACTACTCTTATTACTAAATTTAGCACTTACAAATTTAACGTAATGCCATTTGGGCTTTGCAATACCTCTGCTATGTTTTAATACTTAATAAATATAGTATTAAGAGAGTTTATAAATAAATTTATAGTAGTATATTTAGACGATTTTACTATATACTCTTATATCTTTAAAGAATATCTCTAGCATCTACAAGTATTTGATAAGTTAAAGGATACTAATTTAAAATTAAATCTAGATAAATATTATTTCTTCTTACCTAATATCAAGTTTCTGGGACATGTAGTAGAACATGATAAACTAAAGCCAGTTGAGGATAAAATTGACAAGATTAAAAATTATTCTGTTCTAATAACCCAGCATCAAATTTGAGGATTTCTAAAACTTGTCTCTTACTATTAGAAGTTCATAAAAAGGTTTTCTAAAATTGCTAAACTTTTAAACCAATTGTTAAGAAAAGGTAAACCTTATACAGTTGACTCTTTTTATACCGAACCTGTTTATACTGAAATCGGGTTATAGCGAACTAGATTTGGCAGAATAGATTTTTTTATAATAATTTAAGCTGGTTATACTGAACTAAAATATTAAATCTCTTTATACCACATCCGAACTCTTTTTTACCAGCCAGAAACTATATGTACATTTTAATATAATGAACTATCATGTAACTCATATCAGTTATAAAGTTTAACGTTGAATAAAGTTTATACTTATTTTTAGATTAAAGTGATTTTTAGTCGATCGCCAATAGTTGCTATATAGTAAAGTCAAAAGTTTACTATATAAATCGATTAAAATCGCTTAAGAAAGTTGTTCGAGAGATCAAAATACACATATTCTGAAATTTTCATCTAAATCAGAGAACTTTTTATTAATTGACTTTTAATTTTTATTTTCAACGAATATGTTTTTTTAAAGAAATTTTAATTTTTTCGTTGAACGTAAAAATAAAAAGTCAATTAATAAAAGGTTCTCCAATTTGGATGAAAATTTTAAGGCAGATGTATTTTGACCTCCCAAAAAAACTTACTTAAGCGATTTTAATCGATTAGCATAGTAAAATTTGGACTTTACTATGTAGCGATTGTTATCGATCGTATTATTACATATAAAAAAATTTTTTGTATTATTGATCACATGCGTATGATTTTATTGGTCCACTATATATACCAAACCGTTCGGTATAGAGAGCAAACTGTATAAAGCGAACTCACTCTATACCAAACAAAATCTCCCAGAACATGCAGTTTGGTATAAAGAGAGTCGACTGTAGGCAACATTGTTAAACAAAATATCATTGTGGCAATTAATATCTTTAAAACTGATATTAAAACAAAAATTAATTCTGATCCAAATCTTGAAAATATTAAATAAAAACAATATAAATATCACCACAATTAAAATAAAAATAAAAAAAATAATAAATATAAAATAAAAAAATGTTTGCTTACCATCAAACTGAACATACTAAAAATAAAACCTTGCTTGATACTGCAAAAGCTAAAAAAAATCAATAGAAAAAAAATTACGATGACTTGCAAGCTTTAGCTGACAATTTAAAAGAAACAATTAAAACTTCTTTAATCAAAGTTTTAGATGAAAAAAATATCGGAGTAAATATTAAAGCTGCTCTTATTGAAAAAATAAATAACTTGAAAACAAATATTATCGACAAATTAAAAAAAAGTCATAATACTAGCAATATTATTTGACTAAAATCAGATAGAAATTTAACCAGAATAGATATTTTATTATTATTTCATTTATTTTTTTTTTAAATATTTTTTTTATTTTATTATTAGGATTTATTGTTGGTTTTTTAATTATAACTTAACATGTCTCATCATCCAATAAACATATAAATATCTCTCGATTCAATAAAATTATTTTTTTTTAAAATAGAATGGCATCAAAAATTTATTTTTTTTTCATATATATTGATTGATATCTGCACATTAATCTTTCTTATTTTAGTTGCTTGCTCGACTTACTATAAATACAACCTGGATTTTTCCACAGTAAACGATCTAATTGCCCCATTTTTTAGATATTTTTTGTGTAATTTACATGTAATATTTACAAAAACAATCACATATCTTGATATATTATAATTCAAACTGGTGCCAAGAAAATCAAAGTGTCCTCCAGGATATAAAAAGAAATTCACATCGTCCTGTGTGAAAGAAAAATCAAAAACAAAAAAAACAAAATTTACAAAAAAAACAAAAGCAAATCCAATTAGAGAAACATCAGTCTCAATTTCTAAAAAGTGTAAAGATTGTAAACTGGTGGTTAAAAAAAGTACAAATAGTTGTAGTGCACTTGATTTTATCAGATAATTTAGAAGAATCTAAATGAGATGTGTCAAAATGTCTACCTGATTGTTCATTGTTATATTGTAATAGAGTAGTAAGAAATGCAAATTATTTCTGTAATTTAGAAGAATGTAGACACAAATGAGAATCACAAGATTTGAAAAAATACAATTTTAAACACAATGAATTTATGTAATATGAAACATGGAATGTTACAGGAAGGCAGACTGCCAATGATTGATATTATCTACATATTACTATTAACCAATAGAATTAATATTTTTTTATTAAATTAAGGAATCACAATAGATTAAATTTCTTTATATGACATAACTATTGATACAATATTTGTAATATTTCATAGTTCTAATAAAGATATTGAACTTTATCAAAATAATTTTTACAACATTTAATGCTATAGCAGGAAATAGTGCAAATGCTAGAAATATGTATTATTCTTTGATGAAAAATATGTATCTATCAATTTTATTAGGTGTTGTTTGTGATCAAGATGTGGCAAAACAACAAAATTATACTTCTGATGATTTCATCAACAGACCCAAAGAAGATCTTAAAGATTTTACTACAAAAAATGTTTTTAGAATTATTAGTGAAACATACACATACATCCCATATAGTAGTGACTGTCCATTCACAACTCATAATGTCACTTTATGTTTTAAATTTAAAAACAAGATAGATATTTGCTTGTTAAACAGAAATGTTAAAGGTGAATATAATTTTTTCAATATTAGAAAATTTGTATTGATTAATATAGCAAGTTACACCGATTGAGCAATAAATTTAAAACATCCTGATGATACAAATTATTTTAATTTTGGTTAAAGAAAAGACTTGTTAAATAGAAATATTAGATATTTAGTAATGGTTTAAGATTTAAAAATTTAACTAGCATATAAACTTATTATTAAACTAATTGGACAACAAGATCTAAATAAAATAATTGCAGCATTTAACGCACTCCAAGCTCCAAATTAACCAATGGATCAAGATACTTAGATTTAATTTAAATTTATATAAATATTATTTGTATTCTTTATTTTTTTTTAATAAAAATATTATATATATCATGAATCAAAACCTACGGTGCCAAGTTAAAACAAATTACAATGATAAATTTTTTAATTGTAATAATAATTTGCAAACTAATATACAAAATGCAAAAATAAAATTAAATAATAATAATGATAGTTTATATTAATTAATCAATATAATCAATCTTATTCAAAATATACAAAAAAAACTACTAGAACCCAAACCAGATAATAAACCTGTTGTACCAGAAAATAATAATCCAGATGAACTTATGGATAAACCTAAAACTAATAAACCAGATGAACCAATAGATGAACCAGAAACTGATAAACCAGATAAACCAATAGATGAACCAGAAACTAAGCCAGATTATAATTTGATTTTTGGTACTATTGAAAAATAAATTAAATCGACCACTAGAACTAAAGCTATAAAATTGCTTGATAATAAATTAATTTTTGATAAAATAGAGAATTTAGAGTTAAAAAAAACAGAACAAAACACGACTTCATCAATTACGTAATAATAAATTTGATGAATTACAGAAAGAACATTATAACTATATCAAAAATCAAATTAATATGTTGAATACCAAAAATAAATTGAACTAATTATATTTTCAAGTTGCAAAAGATTAAATCTTGATAGCATTAGAAATATCAAACTCATTAAAATTAATTAACAAAAAGATTAAACTAATAAATGCTAAAAAAGAATTTGACAAAATTGCTAAAAAGATTAAAAATGAAAAGGATGGTTTAAAATTAGATGCTGATATCAAAGATGAAATTAATTTCGATACAAAATATATCACAGAAGACCAGAAGAAAGAACTTCACAAATTACGTAAAAACAAAATTTAAGAATTGAAAGGAACTAAAAAATTTAATGAATTATTAAAAAATATTAAAGATGAATTCTTTATTGGAAACTTGCTTGATGGTAAATTACATGATTTGTTAATCAACGTTTCTAGATTGACAGAAAAACAAAAAAATAAACTACAACAAGCACTTAAAGATCAATTAATTACAGTGATAAATAAAATATTTGATGATTTAAAAAATAATATTGAAACTGAACATTATGCATATCAATTAGAAGATGGTAATTACTACGATCAATATATCCAAGAAATATATAAAGAATACTTGATAAATGGAAGAAAACTTGAAGATTTATATTAATTACATAGATATAAACTCAATATATTATCAAGCAAATCAGAAGACAAATTATATGATATTATCAAAGAAATCATAGAAAAACTAGAAAATTTAGATGAACTTTTTGACCAATCAGAGTTAGCAAAAGATATATTTGAATTGAACCAAATATTATTAACCGGAGATCAAAGTATAAAATATCTGAATAATTATAGAAAAGCTAGATTCTATAATGGCTACTATGACAACATAAAAGCATCAATCAAATTGAAACAAGATATAAATAGATTACAAAAAAATTAGAAAGATGAGATCGATAAACTTGATAACAAATAACTTGTTAATTCAAACAATCATTACACAACTTATAAGAACAAAGAATAAATGATCTATAAAATCCATCCCCAAAAAGACCAACCCCTGAAAATGATCAACCAACTACAAAATACCCAATAGAAATACAGATAATACAACTCCGATAAGAAATGATAGAGGAACAACTATAATACAAATTAATTTTATCATTAATGAATACAAAAAAACACTGAATGCAGATGATCTAAAAAAATTTGGTCGAGTGCAAACCAATAATGTTTGCAACAAAATTCAAAAAACATACAATAATGCCAAAGATGAAAAAACCTTATTAGATATACTTTATTATATTTGGGTGCTAGATAAAGATGATCAATTCTTGTTATCAAAAAAATACACTATACAAAAAATAAATGAAGCAAAAAAATTGGCAAATGATATCAACAAATATCTTTATACAGTTAAAACCAAAAAACTCAAACAACAAGTTGAATTCACAAGATTAAAAAAGAATAATGAATTTCCAATACCTAAATCTAGACCAAAATTTATGTCCAGACCAGAGAAATTTGATTAGTTCAATCTACTGTATCAACATGAGGAAATAATTGATGGAATCAATAGTATAAATTATATTATAAAAGTATACAAAGCCACATTACTTGATTCATTTAATATCACTTCTAATAAACAGAATAGCTGATGTATTATTAAATAAATTTAAAACTCTGATAGGTAAAAATATTCAAATAAAATTCTTAGATAATGTAACCATATTTTTGTGTTTAAATAATACTATGGTTAAAGAATATCTATATAATATATTTAATTTTGATTTCATCTTTTAAAAATATATAAATATTATATAATTTGTTTACAAATAAATTTTTATAAAAATAAAAAAAAATGAAAGCTTTATTAAAATTGTTACATCATGTAATGATGTGATGCTTTTTTGATAATATTTTTTCTATTATCTATTACTCTTAAAAATATATGCATAGTATATTTTTAACTTTTTTTTATTTTGTTTTATTAATTTAATTTTTGACGTAACTTTATTAATTTTTTTAGATACAAATAATAAATACATTAAATTTATTTGTATTAATTTATTAATTTATTTTTATTATAAAATTTATTATTTTTATATAGGATTTGAAAGATCTTTATTATTTTTTATTTCAAATTTTTATATAATTAATTATGGTTAAGATATTTTAAGTAATTCAAATATATAAAATATTAAACATGTTAAAATAATTTGTTAAATAAATAAAAAAAATATACATAAAAAATTTATAATAACAAATTGAAATACTCTAAATATTATAAATAAATGTAAATAAACAAAAAATAAATACACTTTTGAATTTAATATTTTTTTATATAATTCATTTACTTTTTGTTCAATAGTTGTTTTAACTTGTTGTTTAATAATATCAATTAACAGTATAAAATCTGATATAAAATTTAACAAATAATTTAAAAATTTACTAAAATAATCTTAAAATATATTATGAACTTTGTTTGCAAACATGTTTGCACCAAAAATTTTATAATGTTCAACCTCACACACCAAGTTTGTATTGACTAATAGAAAACTTTTAATTTCTTCATTTTGCTCCTGAACAAGTTTTTTACAATGTTTAGAAGCAACAATTGTTCTGTTTATTAAATTAATAAGATTGTTTAACATTTGCTGAAAATCATTATCTTGAGATGTGGATGATGATAATTGGTTTTCAATAATAGAAAGATTACATTTTATGAGCTCTTCAAGTTCACTTATATTTTTAGACATTTTTAATTTAGTATAAATATATCAATAATACTCAATTTATACATAAAAAATGACTGAAATAATCTGTTTTTTAAATATTTCTTATATAACCAAAAATGGTGATTTTAATATTAATTTTGAAAAAAATAAAGGAGAAAAAACTACTTCTGTGAGAATTTGAATTACAGAAAATAATAAACCAATCACAATTAAAGATGCAAAAAATAAAGAATTTTCTTATAAAAAATAAAACAGGTTATAATTAATATAAAAATTTTATTAGTTTAAGTCCAAATATCAAAAGCTTAAAAATTTTTTATAATGATAAAACAATTTACAAAAATGAACACATTAATTTCTTTATCAAAGAATCAATTAAAAAAACAAACTTAATACCCAACTAAATTTCAAATTCTTATCATATACCAATAAACTTTTATTACTCAATTTAGTTTAATTATACAAATAAAAATAAAGTTATAAAAAGAGTTACAGATACATGCAGATAGCTAATTTCTTTGTGAAATTATTAAACTCACTGAATATAAATTATATAATAACAAATTTATTTATACAATTTTACTGTAAAAATATCTTTTATTAAGAAAATTGTAAAAAAATTCAACAAAAAAGAAAATGCTTTAACCAGAAACATTATACAAGAAAAACTTAATGTTTTAATAGACATTAAGTTAGTTGATTTTAATTATAATAAAGAATAAGATAAAATTAAAAATAGATAGAAAAAAGGTGACTCTACATTATTCACAAATGAAAATGATCAACTATTTAAGTTGGTCATCGAACAAGAAGTTTTAAATGAAACTTCCAGCACAATTACCAACCAAGAGAGTCAATTAATTGACTTAATATAAACTGTAAAAGAAAATTTAGTTTATAAATATTAGCTAATTAAATTTTGGCCTTTAATATTTTTATTATTTTTAATAATGATTTTAAGTAAATATTTGATAATTCGATTAATATTTGGAGGATTATTATTATTATTATTATTTTTTTTTTGAAATATTCTTCTTACAATCCGTCTAAACAATGAAAAAAAAGTTACCTATTTTCTGAATCCAAATAAAATCATGTTTTCACAGGCAAACTGTAATCCATATTTTCAAAATAGTTGTTCTATCAAAGACATAATCATAGAATTGGTAGCAGGTATATTAAAAATAGAAAATATTCCTGTTATCAGAGTGTGTATTATTAATGAATCTTTTTATATACTTGATAACAGATGTTTAATTGCATTTCGAATCGCAATAAAATTAGGTTTGAAAAAACAAAAAATACTTGTTATTATAACCAGAAAAGAAGATAGAAATGTGAATTGGAAACTGGCTACAAGTTACAAAATTGTTAAAAATACAAATTTTAACAATATAACCATTTTAGAATACTGTATGTATGAAATGGTATTGCAATTGATAAGAGAGAAGTTGCATGGGAATGTTTTAATTCTTTTTAAAACCTGTTTATATAATATTTAATATTGTACATAATTAATATATGGGAACACCCATAGCAAAAGGGGGGATGGGACTATATAATATATAGTCTCATCCCCCCTTTTGCTATGGGCATCTCTATATATTTAATAACTATTATAAATAAAAAATAATTTATATATAAATAAATATGCAACATTTTAATTAGTATATCACTATAAAAATACCTAATTTGTACTGATACAATTAATTATAAAAGACTTGAGATTTGGCAAACAAAAACTTTATGATTTACTCATACAAATAAACTCTAAACCAAACAATAAACACCAAAATAAACTTCTTGCACTATATTATCTTTGTTGTTATTTTTATTGGTCTATTTATCACAATAATCAATAACCTTAATGATGAACTTAATTTTTCTATATATTATTTATATAAATAATTTATTATTTAAAATTATAAACACAAAAGAATTCTTTTGGTTTGCTGCTATAACAATATATTTGATTACAGTAGCAATATTTTTATTCTGGTATCACTGTTTCTTAGTAGAAAACTTTTCAGAAAGATTCATTTCATAAAAAATTAATTTTCAAAACAGAAATTGTACTGAATTTTACACAATCTTGACAAAAAAACTTGGGTGAAAGTAAAAGTATATGCAGTGTAATATATAGTCCAAAAAAATATTTTACAAATTGAAACTCAGGACAATATACACATTGCCGATTTAAATAAATCATTGATAAAGAAAAAATATTAAACAATTGATCTATTTTATTCTTTATTTAGTCAATGTTATAAAAAGAAATTTATAATTATATTGTTGAGCCAGGCAACTTATAAAATTGCCCAAATTTTATTTTATTTTAATTAGTTTGAAGTCTGGCAATTTTTAAATTGTTGAAAAAAACATTCATTTCTTTCTTTAAATATTTATTTGTAAATAATAAAATATAAAATATAAATAAAAGTAAATTTTAATAAAAAAAATTTAAATCAAATTGAAATATTGCATGTTTTTAATTCTGAAACCATATTATGGTATAAATTTTTTAATACAGTATCACTTAAAAAATTAAACAGATTATCTTGTTGTTTTGGTTTTGTTGATGATTTTTTAGCATTTTTTGTATATTGTTGTTTCTTGAATAGTGGTTTTTTCTTTGGTGGATCTTTATGATGTAACTTTATATAGTCAAACACAATTGTAATCTCCTTGAATTTTTCCTTATACTCCTTATACACTTTCTTACTTAACTAATATGTTTTATCTAGATGATATTTTAAACATAATTTTCTATATTGTTTTTTTATATCTTCAAAAGTATCACTCTTTTTCATATTCAAACTTTTATAATATTTTAACATTATGACAAAAAATTAACAATAAAACATAAAAACATTTATTTAAATAATTTATTTTATATATCAACCTATGTGTCAATCAAATCATATAATTTTTTCTTTAAAGTATTAGATAATACTTTATCTTTTACAATATCTTTTTGCAAATTTTCTAAAAATTCTTATTTTTATTAATATCAAGCATGTAACCAAAATATGTATGATATATAATACGTCATCTTTGCAATAACAATTTTTGATTAGGATCTAAATTTGATTGAATAATTAAATTATAAATAAAATTATCTGCATCCAAAAACCTATATAAAAATTGTTCAAGAAATTCTTGTGAAATTTGAGGTGGTAATTGATTGGGTAAAGGAGGTTGTTGAGGCATCTGATTCAAAAATGATTGAACTCATAGAATAAAATCATAGAGAAATACAATGTTTGTATCAATATCTTTTATTAAAACTCTATAATCATTAACCAAAACCTCAAATCGATATTGTTTGCACTCATCTGACAGTACCAAACTCACAAAAAAGAAAATAAATAGCAAAATTTTTTTATATATTTTTATACAACTAAAAAAATAAATCTCTAATACTTATATATAAATAAAAAAAATATATAAATATAATGAAAATTAAATATTATAATTAACAAAAAAATGAGCTTAAAATCATTACAAGATATTTTTTTTTAACGAAGAAAAATGTATTATATTTTTATTCAAAAAAGAAATTCTAAAACCTAAAACCAACTGTGAATTGTATAACTTTGAACTTGCTTATAACAATAAAGTATATAAATGCAAAAATAATAAATGTCAAAAATTTGTTACAATTTTTAAAAATACTATCTTTGAAAACTGCAACTTAAAATGTTGTAATGTAATATTAATAGATTATCTTTGGCTTTGTAAATTAAACTATACTTAAATTAGCATGATGTTGAACTATTCATCAACAACAATTGTAAAATTTATGGATTTATTTAAAGATCTTGTAATTAATAATTTAATCTCAGAAGATTTTATTATTGGTGGAAAAAATATTATATGTGAAATTGATGAATCAAAATTTAAAAAATATGAAGATTTTTGGATTATAGATAGTATTAAATATACTAAAGAAAAAAATTGCTTTTTTGTAATAACTAAAGATTGTAAAGCAACTGCATTATGAAGAATCATCAAACAATATGTGAAAAAATGCTCAATTGTTCATACAGATAGTTGGAAAGGTTATAGTTATTTAGATCAAGTAAATATGATTCACAGAAGAGTTAACTATTCAAAAAATAGAATCAAAAGAGGAACTGGTATACATACAAATAATATTGAAGGCTTGTAGAATGGTGTAAAATTAAATATTAAATCTTGCAACTATAACAAACATCTAATAGCAAAACATTTACAAGAATTTATGTAATACAGAAAAAATAATAATAATTTATTTGAAGCTTTTATTAAATGTTTAAAATAAACTATACTATGATTCTATTTAGTATTCATACTTATCAAGATATTCAAAATTGTAATTCTTCACCACTCTGCCAAATCTTTCAATATAAAGATCTTTGTAATTTATAATTCTATACAAATTATGAATAATAATTTTAACAAAATCCATCTCAACATATTGACAAATTTTATAATTTGTAGATTTTTTTTCTGAATAAATTTCTTGGATTAAATTTTGACATTCTTTGATTAAATAATTTTTATTATCACAAAAAGAATATGTATTGTTTTTTTCACTAATTTTATAAAGATTTGAAAGATTATCATAAACAAAAATAACAAAATCTTTATATACATTAAACTGATAATATTTCGATTTTAACTTGTAATTGCAATATTTCATAAGAATATGAAATTTAAAATGTTGTTATAGAATAGATTTTTAGTATTAGCTTCTTGAATGTATAAATATTAGTATAATTATTATTTTATCATATTGTTA